TTGTCGTAGGTCTACCAGTGTTTCCTCGTGAGGCAACAGCAAGCTTTTCAATCATGTTGAAATGACAGAACCAGTGTACATTTTGATAGTTTATATAAATCCAAAATGTCAGAAACGAGTAAAACCGCTCATGTTTCTGTTTTGTTCTGGAGAATACTTTGCCAGGCGGAAAGCAGGCAGCAGCTCAGGGAGTCAGACCTTCAGTTGGTGGCTTTAGCAAAGAAAAGAAAAAAAGCTGTTACTGCAGGTTAGACCCAGCGCTGCAGCTGTTTTCTCATTTTTGCCATTTTGATTTTAATCCAATAAACATCTATCAAAATGCACACGGACTAACACAGACTGGTTGGCGACACAGTAACAGGGCTAATGTAAAACTAAAGGGTGACAGCAGACATAATGAATATCAGATGGCAGTACAATGTTTACTGCCTCTGAGTTTCATCAGTTTGTTTCTTATTTTTAATGTTGTTATAATTGATGACTGCACATTTAGATTGTATTAAAAGATGACATGAGTTGCTTCTACTTCTTTGGAGCATGCGACCAGGCATCACACATTTTGACATAGTTTAAAGCGGTATGTATCAAAGCTTTGGTGTTTTCACCGTTACGCAACTTCCAATGTTGAAACCATTGATTTTACAAATACATGTCCCATTTTGTATCTTCAACCATTTGGGTATATAAAAGACAACTTTCTATTATTTAAAACAAATCTCCTGCTGAGTTTATGAAAATGAACAACGTTTCTACATCTGACCCCAGCTTCTCTTCTGTTCTATCTTGATCACTTAAGTGCCTTCACATTAGATGACTGGAGTGAAAAGCAGCAGGGCTCCAGCGTAAACCCTGCACTCCGCTCAGCTTGATTTAAAAGTTAAAAGTTCTGCATTGCTGAGTCATTCCCTGAATCCCTGGAAACTAAGATCCAGGTGACATTTAGCGGTAATGAGTGACAGAACATCTGCGTAACCAAACTGCTTACAAAGCTGTAGCCAAACAGGACTAATGCATTTATTAATGTCCAATTTAATTACTGAGCAATTTAGAGCTGTAGCTTTTAATTTTTATTCATTAGGCTCTCTGGGTTTTTTGTGGTTAGAAAAACAACATTTTTAATGACTTCTGAAGTTAAGTTGTTAACAAGGGGAGCAACAGTGTGAGTCTTATGCCTTCCCCAATGCACTTAGTTTATTAGTGTCCTTAAAAGGAATGTAATCATTTCAATCTTTTCTCCATTTATCCTCTCCCAAAAGAGAATACTGCACACCAAGACATTGTATGTATTTGTTTAGTTATCCAAATAGAAGCTTGTTAAACAACATAAAAGCTTGAACCTATTGGCTAATGAGGACAATTAAGAAAGAATGATGCTGAGTTTTTTTACCAGATATTGTTAATGGGTCTTTAATTGCATTTAACACAGGACCCTATTTTTGCCTCTGCTGCTGTTTTCAGTCTTTGTGGCAAGCAGTTCGACCCAGAAGTCTGCAAAATAAAGTAACTGCTACACAGCCCTTGCACACACATTAGCTTCACAATCCAAATTTCACACTGAAGCAAGCTGTGATTTGTCCTCAAAACAGCGATAAAATGAATCCAAGTGGATGTTGCTCATGTGAAATATCACTGCGTTGTTATTCTGAGCAGACTGATGGGAAAAATCATCAGAGAGCTTCTCCCCTCAGCCCTGTTTGCCGCTCAGTGATCACAAAAGCAGACTTGAATTGGAATGGATAACTTTATACTTCATGTTATGTCTTACCCGTGCTCTACTGTAGCCACAATAAGGGTTAGCATTTGCCATATCACCTCAATATGCATTTTCAAGTTAATAATTAGAGGGAGAGAGATAGAATTAGTTTATTAATCCTCTTTCTGCTCCGTTCTATTGTCACGAGGGGTATTGAGCACGAGACGAGCGTGCTTTTTCAGCCAGACTACAAATGTAATCTGCATAACGTCTTGTGCTGCTGGAGTTTGATCGACGTATTCTCAATTGTTCAAAGTAAACTAGCTACGCTGCAAGTCAATTTCCTTTCAACATTTCAGTGGCTCCCGCTGCCTTTGAAGACCGACATCCATAATGAATGGCGTCAATTTTCATCCTAATTAGAGTGTTTATCTCGGCTTAGTTCACCTATAGTGAGGAGCCTTTGCCTCTTGTGGGGGCGATGCATTTTCATGAAGGACAAACACTGTTATTCAGATAAAGGCAGCTTATCTAGTGCTGGGATTTAAAGCTTTGGAGCTTGCATTATTTTTCTCCAATTTGTTGTTGATTTGTTAACAGCCAGTGTGGCGCCGGGTCAGCCGTACTGTGGCGGGAGGGAGGAAGACGGGGGGCGGGGGGAGTTAGCAGCAGGAGAGAGAACAGGAGAGGGAACATGGTAATGCATGTTTATATAAGAAGAGCTTTCATCTGGAAAATAGAATAAATGGAGCACATCACTTCCTATCAGAACGCAGCCGCTTGATAAGGCCTGTCAGATAGAAACTGACAAAAACATGGCAACCACGCAGGTCATTCAACACATGCGTCATGTGTTTATGGTGTGTTTAATGTGTAGAAACTGACGCAGTGCCTGATGTTTTTTCTGTGTGAGTGAACAATTTCAGCCTCCCCACTCCAATGTAAGCCTAAAAATACCACACCGTTACTGTAGGTGTAAACTAGGACGGCAGGCTGTTTTGTGAAATAGGGGGTTTGTTATTTTAGAACTGAAGTGTTTTATATGCCGTGGAGCAGGCGCGTGGCAGCAAGCCTATGCGATTAAGCTCTTTCCCCTGACACTACCCACTGCTCAGGTTCAGGGAACCCTCAGCTCTGACATGCAACATTTAAATGAAGTCATTAAAATTTAAACCGTCTCCGTTCCAGGGACAATCACTCCTGACATCGCTTGCCGTGCGACAAGTTAATGGAACATAAACGTGGTAGCTGGTAAAGCGATATGAAACTTGTTTTTCATTGCAACAGATGAGAAACTTGTTGTTGATGCCTTTTTGTCATCATAGGCTATGAAAACAATATTACAAGAGTGGAATGTTGTTCCTTTTTAGGATAATGTTTAAATCAAATTGTTTTGATACATTTCTGGTGAAAGGCATGATGCTTGTTGATACGTTTCCAGTTGTGGGATGGAAAAGAACATGTTGAGAATTCATCTTTTTTTTGTGTGTTGGACTAGATTTGCTTTGTTATAGATTAGAAGTCTAGGAGTGTCCTGGTGACCATATGTCATACCTTCTAACCAGCACACCCATCATTCAATTCCATTGGGGGGTCTTTGTTGCATCTCTCGCCTTGTTACTTGTTCATCTCTACACAATGAGAGCTATCAAGTAAAGGCCTCAAAGAAAAGGCCCAAACCTCCAGACAAATTGCCTTAAATAATCATTCTTATGTAGCTTCTAATTGTACAGCTTGTGACCCACTCCTCTTGTCTGCTCGACGCTTCATTCGAAACGTTCAGCTTAACAAACCTGAAAGTGCCGAGCCTCATGAAGTGTAATGTAGTCGCTAGGCTAGGACAAAGGAGGAGAAGAAGAAAAATGCATGGAATAATAGAGAACATTCCTCTGGTTCTGCGGCTTCAATTGTTATCATAAATGTATAAATAGTGTACTGTGAAAACTTTACTCATTAATTTGCCCCATGGAAGGCTCTGAAATAAATACAGGGACACACTTGGCAATTGTTTACCCCATAATAAGGAGGTTTGAAAGTGAATTCTGATCCGACCAAATTGGAGCAAGTCTGTCCCATCTGGATAATATGCTGTTAACAGTCTCAAGATGAGAGCATGCAATGAGCGATTCTTATCATTAGCCAGTGGCTGTTCATCACCGTAGCACCATTCTTTTAAACACGTTTTATGATATAACTGGGATTTAGAATCGCCAAAGTCACATGTTCAAATGGGAGAATATTTATATTTCGACATTAATCATGCAGCAATATAATGTGATGGCCTGTGAGTGAAAGGTTAGTTATTATTTTAGACTCAGTGGTTTTGCTAGGCTGCAGTTCACCTGAAGTTCACATCACTCTGATAGAGTAGAGTTACTGTAGCTGTGCTTCCTTCATCACATCAAACTGTATTTTCTTCGCTTTCCTTCTCTTTTCGGGCAATGTGTCTAAATAAGAAGGGCAAACTCTTTTTGATGACTGTCCACATGTGTTTGCTAAAGGAACACGCAAGTACCTGTGTCCGTGCTGGAGGTCAGTGGTTGCCAGGATACCAGGCTGTAAGCCCAGTGTGCGTTGCATGAATATTTGCATCCCATGAAGACAAAAACATTTCTATGTTGGTGTAAAAAGGTATTTGGTAGAATTCCAGCTTTTATAAACCTGAGGCTTTTGCTCAGGTTTGTTTCCAGCTTCTGATTGATATGATTTTGCTTGTTGGATAATGAGTATCCAAACTAGTGCCCTGTTGCTGTTTACACTGCAACAAGTGGTGCCAATATTCACACTTTTTAAAGTATATATTGGATAATATGTCTAATTATTAAAACATATACAGTAGTGATGCAACCTAAGGCAGTCCAGCCAATGACATGTGAGTTTAGAGATTCAGAGGATAAATAAACATTTACCTAATATTTGAAAAGGTGCTAAGCTAACATTATTTTCGAGATTAGAGAGATGATTGATAAATTGTTCTGCTCTGGAGAGTCTTTGATAAACTCCTTGTGAGGTCTCTGGTCATTAGTGAGCATCCCAGAGGGAGGGGGCAGAGAGGGGGGGGTGCTCTGGGGTGAGAGATATCTCTCCTCATTTGTTACAGAAGAGAGCCTGAGGGCCAGAGAGGCAGCAGGGCTTCAGATCACAGGACAGACTAATTGTTTGTCTGCCCGGAGACACACAAGTGATCGCTCCTTCACACACAGTGGTTCCATGTAACATGTAAGAACAAAGGGAACATTAATTCTACCAGCTATGAGTAAAAAATAAATAAAATCTTATATGAAACAAGACACATGACAAGGCACATTAAAAGCTGAGACATGGCTTCCACCTTTACATTTTATTAGTTGTTTCAGTTATAGTTTAGCAAAGCAAACATCGAAAGTATGAAGGCATCATTTCGTAGAACTTCAATGAATCGGATCTTTAGTATGGCACCACTGAAAAAATATTCATGAGTCATACCAACATTAAAAAGAAACCAAAAGCATGTTTTAAAATCAACTGAGGGAAACACAAGAGACCTTTAACAGGCATTAGCCATCGCATGACGTACTTAAAATTACAAATCATCTGCAAGCAATACACCACCAAGAATCCATACTCTGACCACCTCCTTAGGTCTGTGATTGTGATTTCAATAGTTTGATATGAAATAAGGCAGATTCCTTCAATACAATTATAGACAATCTGATAAGAAGACAAGCAAAAGCGAAGAGGACTGTAATTCCTGTTAATGTGGGATGAAGTTCAAAGCAATTTTTTCTGGCATGCACTGGAAACTGCAAAGAAAAAGAGGGAAAAGAACCAATTGATTTGTTAACAGACACTCATTTCCTGGTTAGTGTACGTTGGCCTTGATGGAGTTTCTTGGTTATACGAGTCAAGCTGCAGTAACAGCGGCGGCGCAGATCGATCAGTGATGTTTACAGATAACGGCTGGGGAATGACTGCCGCCTTACAGACTGTGGTCAGAATCAAGGCTCTGATTTGACTAAACAATGGGGCTGCAGAAGTGTGTGAGGAGACATGGCAGGTGTCAGCGTGTTGTCAGGTATTCCACTGCTGAATGTCGTCATGACTGTTTGGCATTGTGAGAACAAAAGGACAGTAGATGTTAAGCATCACCCAGCCTGGATGTAAGGAGCTGTGTGGTGGGGGGGTCCTCTGACAGACTCACCATGCTCCCTCAGAGGGGGGGGGGAGATCACAGAAAGAGACTTGAACCTGCTTTATCTCTAAATGATACATGACTCTGACACACAGTGAGGTATGGCTCATCTTAACGGGTTGATATGTTCAAGTCCTATGGTAAGGTTTTTGTACATACATATACATATAGTACACACATACTTCAGGGATGAGTAGTTTCTTAAGAGGGAGGGAAGAAGCTAAATGAAGTTGGGGATGTCAGCATCTTGTGAGTGACTGGTTGTCCGGGGCCATGCTGACATGAGCCTCCTGACACCGGGGGAGGGGGGGGCCTTCGCACAGTTTTGCTGGCTGTCAGATGAGGTCGATTGTCCGTCCTTCGGCTGCTTATTCTTTCTTCTCAACAGTGTCTGGAAGGAGAACAAGTCTGAATTTAGATTTTGCACGGCTGGATTTCTGGTTCTTACATTAAATACACAATACTTTTTCTTTAATATTACTCTTTGCAATATTACCGTATTACCATTTCTTACTTGGGAAGTGGTTGGGGACTTTAATGAACAATCTCTGTTAGAAGTGATGATTGCACACCACAGAATGAACTGGAATTAGAGCGGAAATAACAATCATGCAAATATGGAAATAGTTGCAGATTAATTTGAAGTAATTTTTCAAGCAAAACTGGCAAAAATATTCCATGTTTCGAGTTTCTTAGTTGTGAGATTTTATTGATTTATCAGTTTTGCTAAGAAGAAATGGCAATAAATGACTTTGCTTCTCAAAGCCTTACTAGAAATAATGGTAACATGTAAAGATGTATACGTTGGCTTTATAGCCCATGGTATCCTTTCAATCAAAAAGGATATTTCATAGTGATGATCTGTCTATGGGACAAATGCAATTGTGTCATTTTTTGCCTAAGTTAGTGGAAAGAAAATGTTTATTTTGGAAAGTTAAATGGGATTGCCGAAAGCATCCTGCTTTTCTTCACTTTTTGAAGCAATAATTATCTCCAGCAAATGTCCCTTAACTACAGTGATTGGTTATAGGATACTTTCATCGGTCCAAAATGGGTACCAAACTACCTGTTAGTAAATAACAGTACACAGAATGTTGTAGCATGTATCTATAAAAGGCAATAAAGGGCAACGTTTTGTCAAAATTGTATCTGTGATGATCTTGATACCGTGTGTGACAGACAGATGGATAAACAGACTTTTGGACACTGAGGCTAATCCTGTTCTAATGTGAGTCTTTTTAAGATAAAACAACCCAGCATCTCTGTTCAGAAAACAGGACGTCTGTAGTGTTTGGATGCTACTCCACGGCTCATTTTAACTGCACACTATGGGCCACCCAGCTCTCTATACGGCAGAACACCCTGATCCACACGCTTGTTCGACAACAAGCTTTTTTCTTATCTGGCGCTCTGTCTGGCATTGTTTAAGCTCTCTCCTTTCCCCACCACCCCACCCGCTCTGCCAAGTTATTTCATATGCTGCTTGCCCGTCCTATTTATTCAACCCTGACAATCTGTTCACAACAGTTGCTTAATGATTATTTTTTTCTACCTGGGAACTACACCGCCAAAGTCTGAATCCCATTCTTTGGCTGAACAACTCTATAGAGCCACACACAGAACAAATACAAATGACACGCTGTCTTATTGCCCTAAATCTCAGCGGAGCCCTGAGAATAACAACAGTGTGGTATCCTTATCAAATATGATTTATTGGCATGATTATTGCCCCTACAGCCTGTGTAGGCTGCATGTTAAAATAATATGCATTGCACACTTGATTTATTAAATGTCTGATAGTATAGTTTGCAGGCCATTTATCACACTCAATCTCCAAAGACGTGCTGACACGTTTATACCAAAATATCCTACAATATGGCCCCTACAGAGGGAGAGGAGACGAGGAGGGTGGAACTGGGTAGCACTCAGCTGCTCAGCGCTGAGGGCCCTCTGGATAAAGGGATTTCTAATTCAGCAGCTGTGGCCGCTCACAACAAATCGTTCCTAAATAGATTGTGTGCGAGATAAGAGCGCCATTACCTTTGGACTGAATGCTGTCAGTAAGAATGAAATCAGGTTCTTCTGAGCTCTCCACAGGATCTTTCATCTCCTCTAGGGGAGAGTAGAGAACAGAAATAGAGAGGGGGAAATGTGAGGAGAGGCTTTGATAATCAAGCTGCTGGCCTCTTCTTGTGCAGAAAGCCTCAATTTACCAATCAACAAACTCTCTGCCCATCAAGGCGAGTGGGTTTATAGTTATAATGTAACTAGCAACAACTTTTTCAAACAGACTTTTTTGGAGCATCTATACATATAATCAGAACGCTAACAAGCACTGCGATATATTTGAATGCAGGCAGCTATGTTGACAGACATATCCAGCCGAGTGTAGCAGAGGCAGGAAAGCAAGAAATGGAGGAAGGGATGTGTGAGCAGGCGGCGGGGAGGTTTCTGTTCAGTGGCAGGATTTCAGCGATTCGTCACAGCACACAGACTGGAGGGTTCATGAGGAGAAACGTGACCTGTACTCACCTCCATTGCTGGTTTCAGTGCTGTTCGTCTCAGATTCATCTGCAATGTGGAGCACACAGATACAGACATGTAACTCATCTCTGATGTCCACTCTTGCATGCAGATGTTGTTGATACAAATCTTAGGTATTAGTCAAAGTAATCACCTGTGCAAGATTAATTTGCTTCATATATATATATATATATATATATATATATACACTGTATATATTTATATATTTTAATCAAATTACTTTCTGCTCGAGAAAAAGTAGATCATCATAAAACATTGAGAATTTCTATTTTATGACCAACTTCATCCTCATGGCCTTGCATTGAAATGTGTCGTGATGTTTAACAGTCTCTCGTCCCTGGAAATGTAGCGCCTTCCTAAAGAGTTATTCTACACAAAAGAAGAAAACAAATGCGAGGAGGGAGAAAGACGCATGCAAAATTAATTACAGACTGCCATCCCTGTAAGGCAGCCTGAGACTCCCCCTCACACACATCCTTCTCCCCCCCCCATCCTCCCCGTTACATCTCAAGTCGCACGACTCCTTCTTCCTCGTCACTCCCTGGGCAAACCGTGCCGCTTCCCCTCTTTGCAACAACAATCATCCAAACAAAGCACGCCATAAAAAGAACTGCTCTCCCCAGGCGGACCGGAGATGATGTAAACAAATACAACTGCTTAAGCGTGATAGAGGAACGTGGAGAATCCAAAGTTTTATCAATGTTCTGTATGTAAACTAACCACTCTGCGATCAAGCTAATTCAATTCCTTGTAACGCTGGTTTCTTGATTGTAATTGCAGGTTTGGGTTCATGTACCATGGAAGAGGTTATTGTTTATTTTTCAATATATATTGTATTTTATTTTAAAACAGAACGCTCACAGTCAGCCATAAGAAGACATCAAATATTAGATACACTCAATCGACCCCCCCAACCCCCTACACACACATGACAATAGCACACAGATATAACAGATGAAAGAGGACATTTTACTTTTAAATGATGTCTGTATTGTTGGGGATACAGTCATTTACAGGCTGTGTCCATGTGTAATAGGTGTAACAACAGTGTAACATGGGTGTAATATGGATGTAACAGTGTAACATGGTTCTAACATGGGTATATTATAGGTGTAATACAGGTGTGATATGGATGTATTAACAGGGCAACATCTAACAATATAATAATATATATAATAGTAATAATGGTGTAATAACAATGTAATCGGGCTTTAATAGGGGTGTATTCATGTGTAATATGGGTTTCTAATAACAGTGTTATATGGGTTTAATGTAGAAGAGATAATCAATTAATTTTGCATAATATTTATATGTGAAGTAACACAGTAGTTCATTATGGCTGTCATATATAAAAATATGATTTGAAGACCAAGAAAACAATAGTAAGGACCAAAAATAAATGGTGATAGGTGATTGTAATCTTTTATGTGGCACTATGCAACATTTGCTTCCACTCTAAAGAGTATTGGCTAACAGGGTGCATTTACATTGTGTTGTGTTAGACAGCTTGGGCATACTGTACCACCTTTGCCTTGCTGGAAATGTGCTGCCAGCCACGGGTAACGTACACTACAATGCTCCTTCAACAGAGAAGTGATTTCATCTGTTGCAACACTTGGGCAGGAAATGTCTCCTCTCTGAGACCTACTGGGATTTAGGGACTGCTAAAAAGCATGAAGGATCTAGCTACACAAATATCACTCTGTATTCATTTTTTAAACGTTTGATCTGAGGCAGAACTGTTCACACGAGGAATTAACATCTTAATTAACGAAGAAGGGGACCTGAAAGTGGGGTCCATAGGTCAGCGAAATAATCTTCCATTATTCAGTAAACTGTGCTCTATCATTAACAATTGCATGTCTACAGCTCCAGCCCTACTGTTTAGGGCTGAGGGTTCCTGGCCCAAAGAGTTAAGAAACTACTGGTATAGTGTGCTATATCATTTCTTTTAATGACTATATTGTTTTTTAAATGTATACCAGGACATTCTTTATGACTTTTTATGACTTATTAAACTACTTTTTAGTTTCTTATGAAATACTATAAAATACTAGTATGGATATTTTTATGCCATGAAAAATGTTTTATGTTTTATCTTTTTGACAAACATTTTTATAGGACTTTTTATGACATTTAGATTTATTAAACAAGAGGGGTTGACATGAAAGATGTACCGGTACATGTGATGGCCGCTCTACCAGCTGAGCTAGCCTGTTTTTCTGTTTTCATTTTTTTGTACTATATAGGATGACATTTTGTTATGACATGTATACTATGTCTTTTTTTATCTTGAAACTTGTGTACCGTACTTTTTATGACAACTTTCTGTATCACCCCCTGCTTTTGAAGTCATGTCATTGTGTTCCCAGGTATCAGCAATTACTTTGAGTACAATGTTATCACAGGTGACAGACATGGCCAAGCTCAGGAGAACAGGAAGCATGTTGTCACAACCCTGAGATATCCTTTAATCTTTTCCTGCTTCATTATACATTAATGAACGAAGCAGGTTTACCACCAGATTCAGATCATCACGGTAATGGAATACATTTACAGGAAACATGTACAGATACGATGTAGCACATTGTGCTCGTGATCCAGGCGTATGGCATCAAGAGGGATGTGCTAAAATATGCATAGACATAAAATGATATGCCATGAATTATCACTTTTCCACATGTTGTGGATATTAAAGCTGATAGGGATGTGCCTGATGTTGTGACAGGAACAGACCCTCCATCATGTCTGCCTTTAGCATGTGTATGCCGCAGCTCACTGAAGCACTGGCCTCATTCCAGATGCTGCTTTCTTCCCGTCTCTCAGGTGATATAACAACAAAGTCTGGGTGCTACGGTAACATCCTCTTCCTCTAATATCCAGCACTGATCAAGACGAAGCCAAAAAGCTCAGAATTTCAATTGATTGCTGCCCCAGCCTCCCCTGGCTGCCTGAGGCTTGAAGGAACAGCAGAGCGGGGATGTCTGCTCTCTAATTTCACTCCTGTGTGCTGTCAGTGGAGGGGCTATCATTTAGGGAGGATGTGAGTGTGCTGTGGTAAACACATAAACAAGATGGGGGAGAGAGAAAAACGGGCCTCTGTCAAGGTTTCTGGTGAAGGAGAGGGTCGGTCCACAGAGGGCTGATAAGGAAAACAGAAAAACAGTCGACTGAATTGACTCCCTCAGCAGGAAACTAGACAGCTTACACCAGTGGTGCCTCCCACCCTCCATTTTGGTGTGTAAATTACCAGTTTGCATCCAAACTGTATTTGTATACTGCATGGGTGATGTGGATGTCTAGAGAAAGAGGGCACACAATAATCAAACTCTATTGTTTCTCAAGGATAACACTAAAACATGCATGACCTTGCTCCATGAAGATCAACCTCAAAAGGGTATCCGATCTGCATTTCACACACACATTATAATCTGTTTATTTTTCCTCTCTGAAACATCGTGACGTGAAGTTTCCATAACATATTAGTGAAAAGTGACCCCTCAGGAGATCAAATACATTGAAAACATCTACCAAACTTTTACACTCCTTAACTTTTAAACATTTCTTCAACTTAATTTATTTTCTTGTCACTTCAGCCTTTCAGAGGTTCAGTGAAAATATCCTTCAGAGAAAAACCCTTAGTAGCTCAAGAGGGGGGAGGATGTGTGTGTGTGTGTGTGTGTGTGTGTGTGTGTGTGTGTGTGTGTGTGTGTGTGTGTGTGTGTGTGTGTGTGTGTGTGTGTGTGTGTGTGCGTGCGTGCGTGCGTGCGTGCGTGCGTGCGTGCGTGCGTGCGTGCGTGCGTGCGTGCGTGCGTGCGTGCGTGCGTGCTCACATCTGCACAGATGAGAGGAAGGAAGAGAGTTAGGCATAAGTCAGCCTCGTATGCAGACAAGCAGAAAATTACATCCCCCCACCTTCCATTCATTTATTAGACAAGAGGTGGTTATTGTTTTGTTGGTCAGCATTAGTAAACTGCCTCACAGCATTCCACCATGAGTTTGGAAAATGAGTTTGAACTGGACAGCAGTGGCAAGTTAAGATTTTAAAGCATGACATTATTAAATGAAATGGACTTTTTACTTCATCTAGCTTTAGTATGATACACCTTTTTCAGTGTTTTGCATCATCCTCGATGAGCATTTGTCCCCCTCAGCAGCAGTTCTGCTTTCACACTACTTTTAATGTTCTTGTCATTGTGGCTCAGTCAGCCGACAGGGAAGCTGTCCCTGTGGGTCACCCACATGGCATCATGGGAAGCCGTCTCTGCTTAATGTTGCAGACAGGAGCCTGGGGCTGAACAGGAGGATCCTTTTGTCCCTCAGCCACAGGACATCTCACTGTCTTTTAATTCAAATCCTCTCTTCTTGAGCGGGAGAAGAATAGAAATCGATGGAGTCGTAGAAGTGTCCGTGCCCTACAGAGTCAGTTCCCCAGGAGAATTTCTTCCGTGCATTTGATCCCCGGAGCATGGCGCGGTTGGCCGGTCTGATGTTTCTGAACAGGTCCTGCAGCTTTGATCCCCTCCCACAGGTGTCCAGCTGCTGCCACAAAACAACGGACACGACCCGTCGCTATCTCAGCGTGGGAGCTGCTGAAACCCATTCAAACCGTATTTCATTTCCCAGCCTTTCTCCGTTTCTTTGATCTAAGTGGCCTCTCGAGTATGCACAAATAAAATTGAGAAAACACTTCTGACAAAAGGTCTTTAACTGATAGCCTTAAGTATTTCTATTTTGCTCGAGTGAATCAAATTTCTAGTAAAGGTCTTTTTGTTTCTGTGGCTTTTATGGAACAGGCGGAGGGCTGCTGCTCGCTCAATAGCATTTTATCTTGAGAGAATAACACAGAAAAATGTCAAGGTCAATTTCAGTGTCTATTGAGCAGAATTCATTTCAGCATGTCGACCGGGTGGTCTTTGAGGGACCTGTGCCTTGTCTGCATTGAGCCATGTATATTAAACAAGTATCAAAGAGCCCCTCATTGAACTTTGCATGGACTAATAGCTTTGAGGCTAATATGTCTACTG